TTCCTTAACAATTTGTCTTATAAAGAGTTCTGGAGACTTCCTGATTATATTGTAATCTTAAATTGGCCTGATATATTGTCCCAAAATGAATTTTGGATGTATTTATTTATTTTACAATCAAAACAGTTATCTTTGCTTTTCTTATTACCTAAAGAAATTTGAGTTTGGCTATTGAGTGGCAGAAAACTACACTGGAAGATAAGTACTAGATTTTTCCTTAGTGAAGGTTGAACTTTCCTTATACAAATGCAAATTATATGCCCTTAAATTCTCCTTTCTGATAGGTTTCACTGATGAATGAAGGAATTCTTCTCTTATCCTCTATCATGCTGGATTCTTACATTATGATCTTATACTCGGACTTCTTAAAGTCCAAGTGCTCTTGTAGCAGGCTGAAAACTAATAGTTTTTTTTCCCAAAGTGGTAATATGGTATCTCCGTAGGTCCTGTAAGATCATCCATTGTGAATATTTTAGACAAATAAAATCTTGCAAGAAATGTGTTTTTGATATTGTTTAGGTGTTCTTGTTAAGATTTTCTGTGACGTTTAAAGCCTGAAGGTGGCAGCATTTCACTTTTAAAAATCTAGCAATTTTATTTTTGTCACAACATAGATATGAACACAACTTTATTTCAAACATAGAATACATTTTAGTCCATTCATGTGAAAATGGAGACAGAATTTATTATGTTCTTTATGAGCATTTAGAATTTTTTGGTGCTATTAGATTATTAGAAGAAATGAAAGTCAAAATGATAGTCTCTTTTCTGGACTGGATAATGATGATTGTTGCTGTTATACACACGGTGAAAGGTATTGAACCTCTTGGTGACAATGGTTGTGGAATAACCCAACATTAATGCTACCCCTAAAGTCCTGAAGACCTTCTCCAAAAACAAATGATCACTGTGGAATGTGACCACTGGCTGGATCTTGTGGTTGCACTATAGGCCCCGCAAAGGAGAGACTATAACTTGGTGACTGAGTAGATGATTTGCATACAAAGACAATCCAACATTCGCAAAGCAGTTTAAAAGAGTCGTGCTTGTGGTCATGTTACAGTGGAATTCATTCTCACTCTCTTTTATTTTTCTCTCTTGCACTGTCTTTCTAGCACTGATGAAAGAAAAGAAAGAACAACCTGGCATTGCCCAAGAAAGCAGGCCTGCAGTCGCCAAGGGTAGGAAAGTAATAACTTTGGGGGGGGGGGAAGGTTTTTTGTCTGACCAGAAATGTAGGGCTTATGCGACTTATTATGACTTCTCAGAGTGGTAAGAAATGTACAACATACGCTGACATGATTCCACGAAAATAAAACTTCACATTGCTTATGCACATCAAAGATTTAAAGATGTAACTCATGATTATTCACGACCTGGAACAATCTAGGATTACACACACACACATTCACACACACTTTTAAATTGTCAGTCATTGACTAAACTCTTGTATAGAAAACGTGTGCATCTAAACCACCATGATAACTGAAATGAGTACGTAGCTTGGTTTACTCAAGGGGAAATGAGAAAGTTTTCCATTTTCCAATAATTCACAACATACCTTAAAAGCACCCAAGTCCTCCACCTAGCCATCACTACCTGAAGATCTCAAACCCTTTCAGCATGTCATTATCTTGTACGTCTGGAATTCAGAGAGAACCTCTGCAGCCAATCCTTGCTTGTCTATTGTCATTGTGACTTAGCCACTAACTGGGCCAAACAGTTCTGACTCTGTTTCAGGCTGGCCAATCACTACACACACTACACCCCCTCCCAAGCTTATGGTGCTCTGTGAATTGGCAAGGGTCCCTTCACAAAGCGAAAGTAATCAAGATTATAGCATTCTTCCCACCCTCCGATCTCTTCCACATAGATACATGTTATATGTACATTTGTCTGGCAATTTGCAAAATATTCCTCCCAATAAGCTTCTATATCAATGTTTCTCAACCTTGGCAGCTTGAAGATGTGTGGACTTCAACTCCCAGAATTCCCC